CGGGTTTTAACCTCCAAATGAAAAAATCATGAAGATGGGGGAAGGGAAAGAAGCCCGCAGACGGTACAGTCTAGGGGGCCAAAGACTCCCAAACCCTCACTCAAGGAAAAGGATCTTGGAGTTAGCATAATACCCAGCACATCTTCTGAGGCGCACATCAACCAGATAACTGTTGCAGCAAATGGGCGCCTGGCAAACCTGAGAATAGCTTTCAGATACCTCAGTAAGGAATGGTTCAAGACTTTGTACACCGTGTACGTCAGGCTCATATGGAGTATGCAGCACCAGTCTGAAACCCACACTTGGTCATACACTTCTAGAAATTAGAGAAAGAGCAAAGGTCTGCAAGAAGATTGGTTCCCGAGCTAAGGGGGATGTACTATGAAGAAAGGTTAAGGGAAATTGGCCTGACGACACTGGAGGAGAGGAGGGTTAGTGGAGATATGATAACGACATATAAAATACTGCAAGGAATTGACAAAGTGGACAAAGACAGGATGTTCCAGAGATGGGACAAACAAATAAGGAGTCCCCAGTTGGAAGTTGAAGACTCAGATGGGTCAAAGGGTATGTTGGGAAGTATTTCTTAAGTCACAGAGTTGTCAAGAAGTGGAACAATCTGGAAAGTGACATGGTGGCGGCAGGAACCATACATATTTTTTAAGACGAGATTGATAGAGGTCATGGAGCAGGGAGAGAGTGACCTAGTAACGATCAGTGAAGGGGCGGGATCAGGAGCTATGACTCGACCCCTGCAACCACAAATAGGTGAGTACACCACCCCACACTGAGGGTCAGGAGCTGTGAATCGACCTGCTACCACAAATAGACGAGCACACACGCACTCACACTCACACACACACACACACACACAACACACACACACACACACACACACACACAACACACACACACACACACACAGAAACCCACACACACACACACACACACACACACACACACACACACACACACACACACACACACACACACACACACACACACACACACACCACACACACACACACGCACACACACACACATAGACCCACACGGGGTCAAGGCCCAAAAAACAAGGAGCACACTAGGAACAAATGAGAGGTCGGGAGACATTGAAGGAGCTAGGATGTATGCAGGGACGGTACTAGACTCCTGCGGGGGAACAGGAACAGCTGAGCAGGAAAGACAGACCAATGAACAATGGGGCCTCAGCTAGGGAAGGGATTGAAGGAAGTAACGCTCCAAGGGAAGGAACTAGAACACCTCAGAGGATGCAAATAGGAGACACAGTTTGGGAGGAAAGAAAGGGAGAGATCAGTTTTTGTCTATGGGCTCCAGGAAGCCGAAGAAGAAACTTACGAGGAAAGAAAACAGGAGGAGATAAAATCGATTGAAGGTATCATGAAGGCAATAGGCGAGGGCGACATGACCCAGGTGGCAAATTTTCGGGAGAATTGGGTGGTTCGCAAGGAGAAGGAAGCGGCCTCTCAAAATAACTTTCAGGGCAGAATCAACTCGAACCATGATCCTGCAGGAGGAAAGCCGACTGAGAGACAAACTGGAATTCAGAGTGTATACCTCGACAGAGACAGAACGCAAGTGGAAAGGAGGATACTGAAAGAGAGAGCGCAAAAACGAAAGGAGGAATGGAGGAAGCAACAAAGAGAAGCAGAATAACCAGACACAGGTGGAAGGGCAAAACACACTTCCCAGAAACACCTACAGAAGGACTCCAACCACGACAACCCCAAAGCGACTGAACAATCTAAGCCAACAATCACACACTGATCCCTCTGTCCCCACCCCCCACACCACAAACCCCAAACCTACAGCAACCCCCTATGGGTACTTTGCCCCACCACAACCCCTCATAGACCTCTGCCAGGGCTCCTGCTCTCCCAACACCAATATCCTCCCAGGACCACAGTTTTGGAACAGAAGTTGAAGGTTTGGTACATGAATGCAGATGGAATAACTAACGAATATGAGAGTGGCATGAAAGAATCAATGAGAAGTCCCCAGACATCATAGCAGTCACAGAAACGAAACTCACTGAGACAATAACAGATGCAATCTTCCCACCAGGGTATCAGATCCTGGGAAAAGACAGGAGCAGAAGGGGGAGGTCGTAAAACAGAGGTCGTAAAACACCGATGGAAATTCGAGGAAATGGGAGGCATGGACGAGATTGGAGGAAGAGAATACATAGTAGGTACACTTCACTCTGGGGAGCACAAGATAGTCATTGTAGTGATGTATAATCCACCACAGAACTGCAGGAGGCCAAGAGAGGAATTTGAAGAGAGTAACAGAACAATGGTGGACGCACTGGCTGAGGTGGCAAGGAGAGCTCACTCGAGCAGAGTAATGTTACTGGTTATGGGCGATTTCAATCACAGGGAGGTCGATTAGGAAAACTGGAGCACACGGGGGTTCCGAAACATGAGAGCCAAGATGATGGATGTGGTACTGGAAAACCTCATGTATCAACATGTTAAGGATACTACCAGAGAGAGAGGGGAGGATGAACCAGTAAGACTGGACCTTGTGTTCACCCTGAGCAGCTCAGACAATAAGAACATAAGAACATAAGAACACTACAGAAGACCTACTGCCCCATACAAGGCAGGTCCTTATCAAAATGACCTTACCCAAAGCAGCCCAAAAATTAACTCCCGTTACCCAATGACACCAATCAAACCCAGTCCCTCCTATTCATATTTTTGTCCAATCTCCTCTTAAAGCTGCCCCAAGGTCCTAGCCTTTATCATCCTACTGGGAAGACTGTTCCACGCATCTACAACTCTGTTAGAAAACCAGTACTTACCTTATGTCTTTTCTAAATCTAAATTTATCCAACTTAAATCCATTATTCCTGGTTCTTACCTGGTTTGACACCTCAGTACTTTATTAATATCTCCTTTGTTTAAGCCCGTCATCCACTTATACACTTCATTGATATCTCCCCTCATTCTACGTCTTTCCAGAGAGTGGAGATTTAAGGCAGGTCCGTTCATTGAAATTGCACGCAGGTACTCTGCCTGCGTGCAGTTTTATCAAATTAGCATAACTTTAGCAAACCTAACCTAGCCTAACTTAACCTAACTAACCTAACCTAACATTACTTAACCTAACCTAACCTAACCTTACCTAAGCTAACCTTACCTAAGCTAACCTAACCTAACCTAACCTAACCTAACCTAACCTAACCTAACCTAACCTTTACTACCCTAACTATGCCTGACTGGTTTAGACGATTTTACATAATGATTTTAATTTAAATAAACCCATTTTTTTATTATGTGATTCAACAAATCATTGTTCAAAGTAAATGTTCTTTTCCATATTATATTGACATGAGTCTTGAAACTATGGTAGCGCTGAAACAGTGGCGCCGAAACAGTGGCTCTGAAAAAGTGGCACTGAAACAGTGGCGCTGAAACAGTGGCACTGAAACAGTGGCACTGAAACAGTGGCTCTGAAACAGTGGCACTGAAACAGTGGCTCTAAAACAGCGGTGCCGATACAGCGGTGCCGAAACACCGAAGTTGAAATGTTCCATCCTGACTCCCATTATATCCAACTTCCCCCATGAAGACAGATAGCAAAACTCAACTTCCCCCATGAAGACAGATAGCACACTCCAACTTCCCCATAAAGGGGACAGATAGCACACCCCAAAACTTCCCCATGAAGACAGATAGCACACTCCAATTTCCCCCCATGAAGACAGATAGCACATTCCAACTTCCCCATGAAGACAGATAGCACACTCCAACTTCCCCCAGGGAAGACAGATAGCACACTCCAACTTCCCCCATGAAGACAGATAGCACACTCCAACTTTCCCCCATGAAGACAGATAGCTACTCCAACTTCCCCCATGAAGACAGATAATACACTCCAACTTCCCCCATGAAGACAGATAACACACTCCAACTTCCCCCCATGAAGACAGATAACACACTCCAACTTCCCCCATGAAGACAGAAAAACACACTCCAATTTCCCCCCATGAAGACAGATAACACACTCCAACTTCCCCCATGAAGGACAGATAACACACTCCAACTTCCCCCATGAAGACAGAAAACCCACACTCCAACTTCCCCCATGAAGACAGATAACACACTCCAACTTCCCCCATGAAGACAGATAATACACTCCAACTTCCCCCATGAAGACAGATAACACACTCCAACTTTCCCAATGAAGACAGATAACACACTCCAACTTCCCCCATGAAGACAGATAACACACTCCAACTTCCTCCATGAAGACAGATAACACACCCAATTTTCCCCAATGAAGACAGATAACACACCCCAACTTCCCCCATGAAGACAGATAAGCCACTTTTAACATCCCTCTCGTTACCTTTACCCAGGAGGACACAAGACTGAACCTAGGTAAGCAGTCGAGCCTGGGCTATGGTACCTGGAAACCCAGCGATGAGGGCATCACACTCCCCCTGGCGAGACCTCAGCGTGTATGTGCCTCAAAGACGACGCTGGTTTCGAGACACACAACACCAGAGACCCTTCAAGAGAGTCCTCAACAATGGTAATGTTGAATATCAGTATGAATTCATTTGTTAGTTACAAATAACATTCATTTTAGGACAACTTATTATGCACTCAGGTAATAATGGCCCGTTAACCTGGCGTATTATCCTTCATCAAGTATGAATAATAGGTATATACACTTTTTTACACTATGTACAAGAGTTTGAAATATAAGTGTACCACGGTAATCAAAGGTAAAAACCAAGTCAGAGAGACACATTGATAAACCAATGTGTTTATACAGGAGAGGTGTTCCCCCCCCTCCTCCCATCGCTACCCCCCCGAGGAAGAAAGTGTAGACAATCTCCAACAAAACTCCTACCCCTCCAGAGGGAAGAAAGTGTAGACAATCTCCAACAAAACTCCTACCCCCCCAGAGGAAAAAAGTGTAGACAATCTCCAACAAAAAACCTTACCCCTCCAAAAAAGAAGAAAGTTTGGAACCCAAATCTCCAACAAAACTCCTCCCCCTCCGGGGGGAAAAAAGTGTGGGACAATCCTCCCAAAACCCCACCCCTCCAGAAAAAAGAAATTGTAGAAAAATCCCCAAACAAAACCCCTCCCCTCCAGAGGAAGAAAAGTGTAGAAAAATCCCAAAAAAAACCTCCTCCCCCCTAAAGAGGAAGAAATTTGTAGAAATTCCCCAAAAAAAAAACCCCCTACCCCCCCGGGAAAAAGAAAAGTGTAGGACAATGCCCAAAAAAAATTTTCCTCCCCCCAGAAGAAAAAAGGGGTTAGACAATCTCCAAAAAACTCCTACCCTCCAGAGGAAGAAAGGTAAAAAATTTCCCCAACAAAAACCTCCCCCTCCAGAAGAAAAAAGTATGGGGAAAATCCCCAAACCCAAAACTCCTACCCCTCCAGAAGAAAAGTCAGGGGTTTCCCCCGTTTTTTCGAAAGGTTTCCCGGCAATCGAAAAATTCGCCAATCTAGGGGTATTTTTTTAAAACATGGACTCGTTTTTTCATAGGTTAAACTTGCGGGGCCCGGGGTTCGTCCAGGAGGGCGTACCCATGGGTGGGGCCAGGGTGGCAGCCAGTCGGGCATTGTTTATCAGTAAACAAAGGTCCCCTCACGTGCTCCAGCGAAATTTTTCATAAAAATTCCATTTATTTTATTGTTTTGCAAGTACTAAATAACCCTCCCATGGTCCAAAAAGTCCTGGGGCCAAGCCTGTAGTAAAGAAGGTGAAAAAATACAAATTAAATTTTAAAAAAACCATCTTTGAAAAATTTTGGAAAGTGGTAAAATTTGGGGCCCGGGAACTGCCCAAAGGATGCAAAAAAACCCCCTCCCAAAAACCCTTATGTTCCTTTAGGGGCCCAAAAAAAATGAAATAAAGGATGCTGTTGTTGAAAAGGGAGAAAACTATGCTGACAAAAATGAAATCCCCAGTACTGGAAGGGGTTTGAAAAGTTATTTTTGGGTTTGTGGATAAAATGAGAAAAAATTTAGAGGGGTTTACTCTTGCATGAAGTTTTGGTAAAAAAATTGCCTGCAAACAGGGGTTTGAAGTGAGTGTTTAAAGGCCAGAAAGGCTGGTTTGAGGATTTAAAAAACGTTCTGGCATACACAGGTGGTTTAAGGAAAGGGGAGGCTGCCAGTTGGGGACCACAAGGCGGTAAAATTTTTTTATGTGCAGGTTTTCCCGGGAGTACATAGAGGCCTGAAAGGACTGAAACCGGAACAAGTGTTCAATTGTGACGAAACGGGCCTTTTTTGGAAAAGAAAAATTCCCCAAAGGGCCCTTCCCTTTTACCCCAAGGGGAAAAAGGAAAAATTGCCCGGGACAAAACCCTATAAAAAGACAGGTGACGCAAATGTTCTGGGGCTAATGCTAGTGGGGATTTCAAAGTGAAGCCTTTTATTTTGTTCCCATTCTAAAAATTTCCCAGAGTGTTCGGGGAAAAAACAATGTTTGAAGAGTAAATTGTGTGTGTTTAAAAAATTTCAAATAGAAAGGGGCATGGGTCACGGGGGAAATTTTTCCCGTCGAGTGGTTTAATGAAGTGTTTGGCCCTAGTTTTGAAGGAGTATTCCGGGAAAAAGAAATTGGACCCAAAAGGGTCCCTTTGGTAGTTAAAAGGACAATGCACCTTCCTCATTTCCCCCAAAAATTTGGGTATGGGCTTAAATTTTTGAGGGGTTTGGGTTCATCCAATAAAAATTCTTGCCCCCCAATACCACTCTCTCCTCCAAAACCCCGGAAACCCGCAGGTTATTGCAAAAATTTAAAAAAAATCCCACACAAAGCAAGTTTCAAGGTGCTTGACTGTGCCCCAGCCCTCACTTGGGCCCCGGGGGAATTTTTGGGGGAGAACACTTTAGCCCTTCCCCTGCCCCAAAACCCCTTTTAGGGATGGTTTGGGGGGGGGGGTGACTACCAGGACTTTGAACCCCTTTTCCCGGAGAAAATTTTGGGGGGGGAGATTGTGACGACAAGAGGGATTTTGGGAAAAATTTGGGGGTGCCCCAAGGGGCCCAGTTGTTGTAAAATCAATTGTAGCACTGGGAAGTTCCCCTGGGGTTTTGGGTGGGGTTTGGAGGATGGGAAGAAATTTGGGGGAAAAACCCCCAAAGAAGGAAATCACCACTGAGGAGCTGCAAGAAGGGAAACAAACACGCCCGTCAGAATCTTGCTGCAGAGGAGGAGGGGAGAGATGGGAAAAAGGGGCCTTCTTTAGAAAATTTAAAAAAAATTTTTACTTGTGGGATTTAAAATGGAAAGCATTTTTGGGGGAAACATTACCCAACAAGTTTGGGTTTTCCCAAACCAGGTTTTGGGAACATGTACAGTGGGGCAAAGTTTGGGCCATTTTAGGGAATTTTTTAAAGAGACGCCAGGGAAAAAAGAGCTTCTCCCCAGTTATTTTGTGAGGGCAGGGGCTCCATGGACTCTCAAGGTGGTCCTAGTGACATTTAAAAAACAGAGAAGAGAAGCAAAAACAGAAAAAACAAATGGTACCCCGAGGTGTTGGGTGGAAGGGGGGTTCCCCCCCAAACTGTAAACAATTTCCCAAACTTTTCTCCCCCTCCAGTCTCCCATACACTAAGGAAGAATCTCCCAAAAAAGGGAAGTGTTAGGTGTTATGTTTCATTCATCATTTCCCATTGTTTTGTTTATGTACTACATGCAAAATTTCATGTTTAAAATTTTTTTTTTTTTTTTAATTCTTTGGGTTTTCGGGAAAGGAAATTTAAATTTTATTTACATTATTTTTTTATGGGGAAAAATTTATTTTGTAAATTTGTTTAAAAATTTGTTTATAGTAACGGGTAAGGAACGGATTAATTTCGAAAAACGGGGGGCCCCCTGTATTAAAACAAACCCAACAAAAAATCCTCCCCCCCCGAAGAAAAATGTAGTTAAACTCCAAAAAAAACTTTCCCACCCCTCCGAAGAAGAAAATGTAGATAATTCCACCCAAAAATCCTACCCCCCCAGAAAAAAGAAAGGGGTAAAACAATCTTCCCAAAAAAAACTCCCACCCCCCCCCAAAAAGGAAGAAAGTTTTAGGGCAAAACCCCCAACAAAAACCCCCCCCTCCAGAGGGAAAAAACTATAGACCCAATTTTCCCAAAAAAACTCCCCACCCCCCCAGGGAAAGACGTGTAGGGCAAACTCCAAAAAACTCCCACCCTTCAGAGGAAGACAGTGGGAGACAAACTCCCAACCCAAAAATCCCACCCCTTTAGAGGGGAAAACGTGTAGACAATCTCCAACAAAACTCCTAAATTTAGAGGGACAGTTTAGACAATCTCCAACAAATCCTACTCCCCCAGAGGGAAAAAGTGTAGGGCAATCTCCAAAAAAAACTCCCACCCTTCAAGGAAGACAGGTTGGGCAAAACTCCCAACAAAACTCCACCCTCCAGAGGAAGAAATTTAGCAATCTCCCAAAAAAAACTCCTACCCCTTTAGGGGGAAGAAAAAGTTTGGCAAATTTTCCAACAAAACTCCTACTCCTCCCGAGGAAAAGGGGTAGACAATTTCCCAACCCAAAAATCCTACCCTCCAGAGGAAGGGGCAGTGTAGAATCTCCCAAAAAAAACTCCTACTCCTCCAGAGGAGAAAGTGTAGGGGCAATCTCCAAAAAACTTTCCCACCCCTTGAGAGGAAAAGAGTGTAGACAATTCCCCCAACAAAACTTTTCCCACCCCCTTTAGAGGAAGAGAGTGTAGACAATCTCCAACAAAAATTTCCCACTCCCAGAGGAAGACAGTGTAGACAATCTCCAAAAAAACTCCTACTCCTCCAGAGGAAGGAGTGTAGACCAAAACTCCCAAAAAAATCCTACCCCCCTTTAGAGGAAGGAGTGTAACAATCTCCAAAAAAATCCTATCCTCCCGGGGGAAGGAGTGTTTGACAATCTCCCCAAAAAAACTCCCAACCCCCTTTAGAGGAAGAGAGTGTAGACAATCTCCAACAAAAAATCCCTACTCCTCCAGAGGAAGGAAATGTAGACAAAACTTCCCAAAAAAATTCCCACTCCTCCAAAAGGAAGAGGTGTAGACAATCTCCAAAAAAAATCCTACCCCCTTTAGAGGAAAAAGAGTGAGACAATTCCAACAAAAACCTTTTCCCCCAGAGGAAGAGAGTGTAGACAAATTTCCAAAAAAAACTCCTACTCCTCAAGGAAGGGGCAGTGTAGACAATCTCCAAAAAAAAATCCCACTCCTTCCCGAGGAAGAGAAATGTAGACAAACTCCAAAAAAAACTTTCCAAATCCTCCGAGGAAGACAGTGTTTTAGACAATCTCCCAAAAAAAAACTCCCCACTCCTCCAGAGGAAGACAGTTTTAGACAATTCCAAAAAAACTTACTCCCCCAGAGGAAGAAAGTGTAGACAATCTCCACAAAACTTTCCTTTCCCCCCAGAGGAAGGGAGTGTAGACAATCTCCCAACCCAAAATCCTATCCCCCAGAGGAAGGGCAGTGTAGGGCAATCTCCAACAAAAATCCACCCCCCAGAGGAAGACAGTGTAGCAAATTCCAAAAAAAAACTCCTACCCTTCAGAAGGAAAACAGGAAGAAAATCTCCAACAAAAAAAACTAGTGTATATGTGTCCCAACCTTTTTATATACATTTACATTTCATTAAAATACCCTGGGGTTTGCAATTTTTCTATTTTTTTTAAATTTTTGTAATTTTTATTTACACTGTTTTCGGCTTAAATTATTTCATGTTTACAGCTTAAGTTATTTAAAATGTTTACAGCTTTAAATTATTTACATGTTTAAGCTTAAGTTATTTAAAACTGTTTTTCAGCTTTTAAATTATTTACACTGTTTACTTAAGTTAAATTTTAAATGTTTTTCTGCTTAAATTATTTACATGTTTACACCCAAGTTATTTAAAACTGTTTACCGCTTAAGTTATTTTTCCCTGTTTACAAACCTTTAAATTATTTACACTGTTTACAGCTTAAGTTATTTCACTGTTTAAAGCCCTTTAAATTATTTTTCACTGTTTACAGTTAGCTTAAGTTTTTTGTAGTTTTTTTTTTCCGGCATAAAAATGGGTTTTCAGTTTCTCTTCATTACAAGTGAATTCCAACAATGGGTTTTATGCAAAAAGTTTTTGGGGGAAAAAAACAGCTGTGTTGTACACGGTGATGTACACGTGTTGTACAGGGGGGATGTACACAGTGTTTTTTACAGGGTGATGTTTAAAAAGTTTTTGGGACAGGGGGTTTTTTACACAGTGTTTTAAACGGTGTTTTTCACAGTGTTGTTTCAGGGTGATGTACACAGTGTTGTACACTTTATTTTAACAGTGTTGTACAGGGTGATTTTACACAAATGTTTTACAGGGTGATGTACACAGTGTTGTACAGGGTGAAAATACACAGTGTTGTACAGGGTGATGTACACAGTGTTTCTACTAAACCTTACAGTATAAAATACAGTACTAGCAGGATAAAAAGTAAATTAAAAATGAAATACAGAAATAAAAGGGAAGTCATGCAATAGCTGTAGTAAAATTTTTAAAGTAAAAGAGTAACATACGATACTATGAAATTTACCTTATATAGCAACGGTGTGGCATGATCTAGCCAGTATGTTGGTAATGTTCAGTGATTCCACTTGCTTCCATTTTGACTTACGACCGGTTGGTCGGATCCATAAATCGGTTCGTAGTCGGATGGTACAACATATATATATATAAAATATATATATATATATATATATATATTATATATATATAATATATATATATATAAAATATATATATATATAATATATATATAAATATTATTTTCATATAGTCGGACTTGAGTCCTGGAAATGGGAAGTACATGCCTGCACTTTAAAGGGGGGGTTTTGGGATATTGGCAGTTTGGAGGGATATGTTGTGTCTTTATATGTGTATCTTCTGGACTGTTGTATTCTGAGCACCTCTGCAAAAACAGTGATAATGTGCGAGTGTGGTGAAGGTGTTGAATGATGATGAAAGTATTTTCTTTTTGGGGATTTTCTTTCTTTTTTTGGTAAACCCTGCCTCGGTGGAAACGGCCGACTTGTTGAAAAAAAAAAAAAAAAAAAAAAAAAAAAAAAAAAAAAAAAAAAAAAAAAAAAAATATATATATATATATTTTATATATATATATATATATATATAATAATATATATATATATATATATATATATATATATATATATATATATATATATATAAATAATATATAATATATACAGATGTTGCAGGTGTAGGTATAGGAGCTAGGTTACTGAAAGCATGAAGAGTTTTTTACGAGGATAGTGAGGCTCAAGTTAGAGTATTTAGGAAAGAGGGAAATTATTTCCCAGTAAAGTAGGCCTTAGACAAGGATGTGTGATGTCACCGTGGTTGTTTAATATATTTATAGATGGGGTTGTAAGAGAAGTAAATGCGAGGGTCTTGACAAGAGGCGGGGAGTTTAAAAGATAAAGAATCGCACATAAATGGAGTTGTCACCAGTTGCTCTTTGCTGATGACACTGTGCTCTTGGGATTCTGAAGAGAAGTTGCAGAGATTGGTGGATGAATTTGGTAGGGTGTGCAAAAAGAAAAAAATTAAAAGTGAATACAGGAAAGAGTAAGGTTATGAGGATAAAAAAAAGATTAGGTGATGAAAGATTGGATATCAGATTAGGGGGGAAAGAGTATGGAGGAGGTGAATGTATTCAGATATTTGGGGAGTGGAGGTGTTTAGCGGATGGGTCTATGAAAGATGAGGTGAATCATAGAATTGATGAGGGGAAAAGGGTGATTGGTGCACTTAGGAGTCTGTGGAGACAATGAACTTTGTCCTTGGAGGCAAAGAGGGGAATGTATGAGAGTTAGTTTTACCAACGCTCTTATATGGGTGTGAAGCATGGGTGATGAATGTAGCAGCGAGGAGAAGGCTGGAAGCAGTGGAGATGTCATGTCTGAGGGCAATGTGTGGTGTGAATATAATGCAGAGAAATTTGTAGTTTGGAAGTTAGAAGGAGATGCGGGATTACCAAAACTGTCGTCCAGAGGGCTGAGGAAGGGTTTGTTGAGGTGGTTTGGACATGTAGAGGGGAAAAGGGTGAAACAGAATAACTTCAAGAGTGTATCAGTCTGTAGGTGGAAGGAAGTGGGGTAGGGGGCGGCCTAGGAAAGGTTGGAGGGAGGGGGTAAAGGAGGTTTTGTGTGCGAGGGCTTGGACTTCCAGCAGGCATGCGTGAGCGTGTTTGATAGGAGTGAATGGAGACAAATGGTTTTTAATACTTGACGTGCTGTTGGAGTGTGAGCAAAGTAACATTTATGAAGGGGTTCAGGGAAACCGGCAGGCCGGACTTGAGTCCTTGGGGATGGGAAAGTACAGTGCCTGCAAATCTGAAGGAGGGGTGTTAATGTTGCAGTTTAAAAACTGTAGTGTAAAGCACCCTTCTGGCAAGACAGTGATGGGGGTGAATGATGGTGAAAAATTTTTTTTTTTTGGGCCACCCTGCCTTGGTGGGAATCGGCCAGTGTGTTAATAATAAAAAAAATATATATTACACACACACACACACAATTAGACCGTTATTTAGCACTAGTTTAATTTTGGGACGATTTGAGTATATCATGACTGAAGAATTGCGGCACCCAAAGTTATGTAACAGTCGTATAAATGAATTTAACACAGTTCACTTTGCGGGAAGGTAAAAAAAAAAAAACTTACCTTTTCCCACAAGCGGCCGCCTTGTTGTTTGGGCCCCGCTGCGGGGACCTCCCGCCGTTCCCCCCCCCTCCCTTCCCCGACACCATCCCAGCACTCCTGCTTCTTACGTGTCCAGTCCAGCTTCTCTGCTACAAGCTTGTGATTGTGAATTGTGTTTTGATCTTTTAATTGCTACGTCTTGTATCTACCAAGCAATCATGACACCCAGTAAGCATGTCAGTGTTGCTCAAAGTGGCAAGAAAAAGTGTAAACATTGAAGTCTTTGAATTAACGAAGGAAACAAAGATATTAGACAAGACATCTTGTGGCCATACTGAAGTGTTACTTTGTACATGTAAGAAAAGGTACACATAAGTTTGTGTGACTGACTGACTTAGTGACTGACTGACTCCTTACTGAATGACTGACTGACTGATTTACTGAATGAGTTGATTGACTTACTGAATGACTTGACTGACTTACTGAATGACTTGACTGACTTACTGAATAACTTGACTGAGTTACTGAATGACCTTGACTGATTTACTGAATGACTTGACTGACTTACTGAATGACTTGACTGACTGAATGACTTAAAGTTAGACACTCCAGTACAACCATCAACTTCATACCAGAGCCTCCACCATCCACCTCAGACCAGTAGGACCACAACATAACTCTCCACTCTCTCCACAATCATCCATAATTATTTCTGTTACATTTGTAGTCTTAAGCAGTAATAACAACATAACACATCACAACAATGAACTATAATTACATATTCATTTTTAAATTTTTGTTAGATGTAGAGGCCTAAAAAAAAGTTGGTTTGGCTTTTTTTGGGGCCTCTCAGGAACGTAACCCTATTTTTCCTCTTAGTTCTTCATTTCATCTGACACGGTTTAACCTAGCATGGTGTTTTCCGGAAAGTAACTACTGTGTTAAATAACGGTCTACTCTCTCTCTCTCTCTCTCTCTCTCTCTCTCTCTCCCCTCTCTATATATATATAAAATATATATATATATATATATATATATATATTAATATATATTTTGCCCGTGCCGAATAGGCAGAACTTGCGATCTTGGCCTTAAATGCAAGGCTCATCTTGCCATATAGGACAAGTGAAAATTTGTGTATGCAATAATTTCTTCAAAATCATTCTGAACCTAACGAAAAAAATATATTTCACTGTGTTTGTTTAGTATTAAATTATTATAAACAAATCTAAAATATATTTAGTTGGGTTAGGCTAAAATATATTGCTGTTGTTATAATAAGGTTAGGTAAGTTTTCTAAGATTCTTTTGGTGCAAAATTATAAATTTTTACATTAACATTAATGAAAAAAATCTTTAAACGTATAAGAGAAAATTTTAAATAGGACTTAATTTTAAATGAGTTCTTGTTAATTGACCAGTTTTACATATTCGGCACGACATATATATATATGAATAAATTAAAATGTATATTGAATGGTCACTGGACATTTTCAGTTTCTGGTGCTGTTCGGCCGGGCAGTTTGGTGGCTCTGATGGGATCTAGGTAAGTCGTTTATCTATTATCCTTAAATTGTCTGAGGTTGAGTTTAATGACTCTTTCTCAGGGTCTTTGTTAGTAATTCTGGCTCATAAAATTTACAAAAAGGCCTACAATAAAATAACTAAATGTATTTCAGTCATTTTAGCAATCCAAGAAAGTTATCCCCGCATTCTATAAAACCCAGCGCCTCTACTTCACTGCAGGTGAAAGGAACAGTGCAGAGGGGTGATGTAATCCTAGTGAAACAACTTAAAAAATCTACGTATTCCTATATATATATACGAAACATGCATGTGCCTGTGTATGTATGCACGCAAATATATGTTTGTATTTGTAGGTATTTGAGTATGTATGAGTATTAGGGTATGTGTACATTTACGAATGAAAGTGTTTTTATTATTTACATGTCTGTAAGCATAGTGGCACATGTATGAGTGCATGTATTCATAGGGGAATTTATGTATGTACACTTCTGGGAATGTATTAATGTGCATAAGTATGCATACGTATTTTTATGGTATGTATGCTTATGTAAGACTAAAACTATACAGATGTACTCTGGAGTATATGTAGACAAAAAATGTGAACAATGTGTCCATGATGTGCATATGTATGCATGTTCTTATATAAGCTTGTGCGTATCATGTACTTGCCTATTTGTACTTACATAATGGTAGACTCAAGAAATAAAACCATCCCCCCCGGCCGGGGGGACGGCAGTGAAGGGACTGAGCTAGAGTTCGTCACGGCCACGCTAGCTGGAGATTCGTCTGTAAAAACTTGCATTTTGGTCACAGTGGTGCCTGTGTTAACTTTCCTATGGTGTAGAAATAGTTGGATGAATCTTATTGTGGCTAGCTGGTCTAGTGGCTAACGCGACGGGCTGGAGTTTTTGGCCTCTATGACCGCGGGTTCAATCCCGGCCGGGGGTATGGTTTACATAATGGTTGTTTTTAGTGATTCGGTCTCAGCTCCTGGCCCCCTCTTTTCTAGTTGCTGCTGACTTCACTCACTCCTGGCGTGAAACACTGGCCCCCCTCTCTGGCTGCTACTGTACTCACTCCTAGCTGTGGAACACGGGCCCCCGGCTCTCTGGTTTGCTGCTATACTCACTCCTGGCTGTGGAACACTGGCCCAGCCTCTCTGGCTGCTACTGCACTCACTCTAGCCTTGTGGATCACTGGCCCCGGCTCTCTGGTGCTGCTATTACTCACTTCCCTGGCTGTGGAACACGGGCCCCAGCCTCTCTGGCTACTACTGCACTCACTCCTGGTGTGGAACACTGGCCACGCCTCTCTGGCTGCTACTATACCGCTCCTGGCTGCGGAACACTGGACCCGCCTCTCTGGCTGCTACTGACTTCACTCACTCCTGGCTGTGAAAACTGGCCCCACCTCTCTGGCTGCTACTGACTTCACTCACTCCTGGCTGTGAAACACTGGCCCCACCTCTCTGGCTGCTACTGACTTCACTCACTCCTAGCTGTGGAAAACATGGCCCCGGCTCTCTGGCTACTACTGCACTCACTCCTGGCTGTGGAACACTGGCCACCCCTCTCTGGCTGCTACTATACTCGCTCCTGGCTGGGGAACACTGGACCCGCCTTTTCCCTGGCTGCTACTGACTCACTCACTCCGGGCTGTGAAACACTGGCCCCACCTCTCTGGCTGCTACTAACTTCACTCACTCCTGGCTGTGAAACACTGGCCACGCCTCTTGGCTGCTACTATACTCGCTACTGGCTGCGGAACACTGGACCCGCCTCTCTGGTGCTACTGCACTCGCTCCTTGCTGTGGAACACTGGCCCCCTCCTCTCTGGCTACTACTGCATTTCACTTCCTGGCTGTGGAACACTGGCCCCGGTTTCTCTGGCTGCTACTGTACTCACTCCTGGCTGTGGAACACTGGCCCCGCCATTCTGGTTGCTACTGTACTCACTCCTGGCTGGGGAAAACACTGGCCCCGCCATTCTGGTTGCAACTGTACTCACTCCTGGCTGTGGAACACTGGCCCCGGCTCTCTGGCTGCTGCTATACTCACTCCTGGCTGTGGAACACTGGCCCAGCCTCTCTGGCTACTACTGCACTCACTCCTGGCTGGGGAAAACACTGGCCCCGGCTCTCTGGCTGCTACTGTACTCACTCCTGGCTGGGGAAAACACTGGCCCCGCCATTCTGGTTGCTACTGTACCACTCCTGGCTGTGGAACACTGGCCCCGCATTCTGGTTGCTACTGTACTCACTCCTGGCTGTGGAACACTGGCCCGGCTCTCTGGCTGCTGCTATACCCCCCACTCCTGGCTGTGGAACACGGGGTCCAGCCTCTCTGGCTACTACTGCACTCACTCCTGGCTGTGGAACACGGGCCCCACGCCTCTCTGGCTGCTACTATACTCGCCCCTTTGGTGCGGAACACTGGACCCTTCTCTCTGGCTGCTACTGCACTCGCTCCTGGCTGTGGAAAAACTGGCCCTCCTCTCTGGCTGCTACTCCCACTCACTTCTGGCTGTGAAACACTGGCCCCCGCCTCTCTGGCTACTACTGCACTCACTCCGGCTGTGGAACACTGGCCCCCGGCTCTCTGGCTGCTACTGTACTCACTCCTGGCTGTGGAACACTGGCCCCGCCTCTTCTGGCTACTACTGCACTCACTCTTGGCTATGGAACACTGGCCCCGGCTCTCTGGCTGCTACTGTACTCACTCCTGGCTGTGGAACACTGGCCCCGCCATTTGGTTGCTACTGTACTCACTCCTGGCTTGGAACACTGCCTCGCCATTCTGGTTGCTACTGTACTCACTCCTGGCTGTGGAACACTGGCCCCGGCTCTCTGGCTGCTACTATACTCACTCCTGGCTGTGGAACACGGGAGTACCTATTCTTAAACAATATATGGATCCTGCTTCCTCAGCTTCTCTCTCGAGGTCGTTCCTTTCCTTGACAATCCAAAGGCTAGAGAGGTGTTTCCCAAAAACGTCCCTAAAAACTCATTTGCCTTTGTAAAGTCTAGATGTGCCCTCGTGTACCTGAGACTTGCCTCCCAAACATGCTAGGGTCTATCCGTCGTACCCTTCGTCTCAGTATTTCTATGTCGCAATCATGTCGCTCCTGATTTTTGTGTCCTCTATTATCATTACTGTAGCCTTTGTTTCCCCTAGCCTTTCTTATAGTTCATATCTCCTCAACTCTGTGTTCAACCCAAATTTTGGTTGCAGGCGTCGAGTCGTAGCTCCTGGCCCGCCTTTTCATTAGTCACTACTAGGTCCACTCTGTCCCTGCTCCATGAGCTTTAGCATACCTTTCTTAAAGCTATGTATTGTACCAGCCTCCACTACCTCACTTTCCAGACTATTCCACTTCCTGACAACTTTATACTAAAGAAATACTTCCTAACATCCCTGTGATTTATCTGAGTCTCACTTCCCAAATGTGACCCCGTGTTGCTGTGTCCCATCTTCGGATTGTCCTGTCTCTGTTCACCTTGTCGATTCCTTTCAGTAATTTATATGCCGCTATCCATATCCGCCCTATTTCTCTTGTCCTCTAGTGTCGTCAGGTCGAGTTCCCTTAACTCTCCTCGTAAGACATCCCTTCAGTCCGGACTAGTCGGGACTCTAATTTCTGACATGCTTGGGCCCGGGGGTGAATTATTTCTGACCACAGACACATTATCTAATTATTTTACAAAAAAAATAAATTGAAAAACGCATCAGCTTTCAAAATTTTACGATTCAGAATTTCAAAAAAAACTGCAGATACTAGCATACAGTAATACAAAAAAAACGTTGCAAATTTTTTCATACACAGTAACGACCATTAAACATCAATGAGTTCATAATTACTTTATATAAACCAGAAGAAACGCTAAACCAATAGGCATCACATATCACCTGTGGAATGGAGGTGTGATAAACAGTTTAAAAAACAGACAAGTTGAAGATTGAGACACTTATTCAACATATGGGAATCTTTATTGAAGAAACGTTTCCCCCACACAGTGGCTTTATCAGTCCAATACGAAGCAGAAAGGTGTCAGGAGAGGAGTTTGAGGTAATCAGTCCCTCAGCCTGGAGTCGATGTGTTCAGTCCATCAATCTTGTAGAATGTACAGCATAGGGCCGTAGACGTGGCTTATATACTGTAGTGAGGTGAGGTGAAGCAGGCGGAGGCCGGGGTCATAGTGGTACCATCCACTAGTCGAAGTAAAGGTCTTCGTCCAAAAGGTTGAACAAGTGTTGAAGAATTCTTTGTAACAAGATCCCATGATGCTGCAGTGTCTGATACATGTGATAAATGGCTTAAAAAACCGACGTGGGAATGAGGTATTGGATTAATACAAGTGAGGGGACGACAACTCCAGTTCCTGGGATCAAAATCCATCACCAGCTTCTAAACAAAACGTAAAATAATTCTTTACCATCCCAAGTTTATAAGTGAAAAAATGTTATGTACACACTGTACTAACAATGTTATGTACACACTGTACTAACAATGTTATGTACACACTGTACTAACAATGTTATGTACACACTGTTTCTAACAATGTTATGTACACACTGTACTAACAATGTTATGTACACACTGTACTAACAATGTTATGTACACACTGTACTAACAATGTTATGTACACACTGTACTAACAGTGTTATGTACACACTGTACTAACAATGTTATGTACACACTGTACTAACAAGATTATGTACACACTGTAAATAACAATGTCAACCCTATGGGTCTGTGATGTGTTATCTAGTGTGGTGTGCAAGTCAACCCTATGGGTCGTGATGTGTTATCTAGTGTGGTGTGCAAGTCAACCCTATGGGTCTGTGATGTGTTATCTTGTGTGGTGTGTAAGTCAACCCTCCGGGTCTGTGATGTGTTATCTAGTGCGGTGTGCAAGTCAACCCTATGGGTCTGTGATGTGTTATCTAGTGTGGGGTGCAAGTCAACCCTATGGGTCTGTGATGTGTTATCTTGTGTGGTGTGTAAGTCAACCCTATGGGTCTGTGATGTGTTATCTAGTGTGGTGTGCAAGTCAACCCTATGGGTCTGTGATGTGTTATCTTGTGTGGTGTGTAAGTCAACCCTAATGGGTCTGTGATGTGTTATCTTGTGTGGTGTGTAAGTCAACCCTATGGGTCTGTGATGTGTTATCTAGTGTGGTGTGCAAGTCAACCCTATGGGTCTGTGATGTGTTATCTTGTGTGGTGTGTAAGTCAACCCTATGGGTCTGTGATGTATTATGTAGTGCGGTGTGGCAAGTCAACCTCCGAGACTGTGTTGTATTATCTAGTGTGGTGTGCAAGTCAACCCTCCGGGTCTGTGTTGTATTATGTAGTGCGGTGTGCAAGTCAACCCTCCGAGACTGTGTTGTATTATCTAGTGTGGTGTGTAAGTCAACCCTCCGGGTCGGTGTTGTGTTATCTAGTGTGGTGTGCAAGTCAACCCTCCGGGTCTGTGTTGTGTTATCTAGTGTGATGTGCAAGTCAATCCTCCGGGTCTGTGTTTGTGTTATCTAGAGTGGTGTGCAAGTCAACCCTCCGGGTCTGTGATGTATTATCTAGTGTGGTGTGCAAGTCAACCCTCTGGGTCAGTGTTGTATTATGTAGTGTGGTGTGTAAGTCAACCCTCCGGGTCTGTGATGTGTTTATCTAGTGTGATGTGCAAGTCAACCCTCCGGGTCTGTGATGTATTATCTAGTGTGGTGTGCAAGTCAACCCTCCGGGTCTGTGATGTATTATCTAGTGTGGTGTGTAAGTCAACCCTCCGGGTCGGTGTTGTGTTATCTAGTGTGATGTGCAAAGTCAACCCTCCGGGTCTGTGATGTGTTATCTAGTGTGGTGTGTAAGTCAACCCTCCGGGTCGGTGTTGTGTATCTAGTGTGGTGTGCAAGTCAACCCTCCGGGTCAGTGTTGTATTATGTAGTGTGGTGTGTAAGTCAACCCTTCGAGACTGTGTTGTATTATCTAGTGCGGTGTGCAAGTCAACCCTCCGGGTCAGTGTTGTATTATGTAGTGTGGTGTGCAAGTCAACCCTCCGAGACTGTGTTGTGTTATCTAGTGTGGTGTGCAAGTCAACCCTCCGAGACTGTGTTGTGTTATCTAGTGTGGTGTGCAAGTCAACCCTCCGAGACTGTGTTGTGTTATCTAGTGTGATGTGCAAGTCAACCCTCCGGGTCTGTGATGTGTTTACTAGTGTGGTGTGTAAGTCAACCCTCCGGGTCGGTGTTGTGTTATCTAGTGTGGTGTGCAAGTCAACCCTCCGGTCAGTGTTGTATTATGTAGTGTGGTGTGTAAGTCAACCCTTCGAGACTGTGTTGTATTATCTAGTGCGGTGTGCAAGTCAACCCTCCGGGTCAGTGTTGTATTATGTAGTGTGGTGTCCAAGTCAACCCTCCGAGACTGTGTTGTGTTATCTAGTGTGGTGTGCAAGTCAACCCTCCGAGACTGTGTTGTGTTATCTAGTGTGGTGTGTAAGCCAACCTTCCAAGACTGTGTTGTATTATACAGCGGTGCTGAAGTCTACCCTCAGAGACTGTGTTGTATTATACAGTGGTGCCGGCAAGTCTACCTTGATGAACGCCCTGGCTCACCGTACATCCAGCGGAGTGGTGGTAGATGGAGACATCCTGGTCAACAGCAGACGAGTTAACCGCTCTATGACCTCCCTGGCTGGTTATGTGCACCAAGATGACCTCTTCGTCGGCTCACTCACAGTCAAGGAGCATCTCACCTTCATGGTATGTGTGTGTGTGTGTGTGTGCGTGTGTGTGTGTGTGTGTATGTGTGTACTCACCTAATTGTACTCACCTAATTGTGGTTGCAGGGGTCGAGACTCAGCTCCTGGCCCCGCCTCTTCACTGATCGCTACTGGATCCTCTCTCTCTCTGCTTCCTGAGCTTTGTCATACCTCTTCTTAAAACTATGTATGGTTCCTGCCTCCACTACTTCACTTGCTAGGCTATTCCACTTGCTGACAACTCTATGACTGAAGAAATACTTCCTAACGTCCCTGTGACTCGTCTGAGTCTTCAGGTTCCAGTTGTGACCCCTTGTCCCTGTGTCCCCTCTCTGGAACATCCTATCTCTGTCCACCTTGTCTATTCCCCGCAGTATCTTGTAAGTCGTTATCATGTCTCCCCTGACCCTTCTGTCCTCCAGTGTCGTCAGTCCGATTTCCCTTAACCTTTCCTCGTACGACATTCCCTTGAGCTCTGGGACTAGCCTTCTTGCAAACCTTTGTACTTTCTCTAACTTCTTGACGTGCTTGACCAGGTGTGGGTTCCAAACTGGTGCTGCATACTCCAGTATGGGCCTGACATACACAGTGTACAGTGTCTTGAACGATTCTTTACTAAGGTATCAGAACGCTATTCTCAGGTTTGCCAGGCGCCCAAATGCTGCATCAGTTATCTGGTTGATGTGTGTTTCCGTAGTTGTGCTCGGTGTTATGCTCACCCCAAGATCTTTCTCCTTAGTGAGGTTTGCAGTTTTTGGCTACCTAGCATACACTCTGTCTGCAGTCTTCTTTGCCCTTCTCCAATCTTCATGACTTTGAATTTGTGGAGGTTGAATTCGAGAAGCCAATTGCTGGACCACGTGTTCAGCCGGTTCAGGTCTCTTTGGAGACCTGCCTGATCCTCATCTGATTTAATTCTTCTCATTAACTTCACATCATCTGCGAACAGGGACACTTCTCAATCTATCCCTTCCGTCATGTCATTCACATATAACAAAAATAGCACTGGTCTTAGGACTGACCCCTGTGGGAGCCCGCTCATCACAGGTGCCCACTGTGATACCTCATCACGTACCATGACTCATGTTGCCTCCCTGTCAGGTATTCTCTGATCCATTGAAGTTCCCTTCCTGTTATACGCGCTTGATCCTCCTGCTTCTGCACTATTCTCATGTGAGGAACTGGAGTTTACCTGGAGAGAGTTCCTGGGGTCAACGCCCCCGCGGCCCGGTCTGTGACCAGGCCTCCTGGTGGATCAGAGCCTGACCAATCAGGCTGTTACTGCTGGCTGCACCAATCCAACGTACGAGCCACAGCCCGGCTGGACAGTACCGACTTTAGGTGCTTGTCCAGTGCCTGCTTGAAGACAGCCGGGGGTCTATTGGTAATCCCCCTTATGCATGCTGGGAGGCAGTTGAACAGTCTTGGGCGCCTGACACTTATTGTATTGTCTCTTAATGTGCTAATGACACCCCTGCTTTGCATTGGGGAGATGTTGCATCGTTTGCCGAGTCTTTTGCTTTCGTTGTGAGTGATTTTCGTGTGCAAGCTCAGTACTAGCCCCTCTAGGATTTTCCAGGTGTATGTAATCATGTATCTCTCCCGCCTGCGTTCCAGGGAATACAGGTTCAGAAACCTCAAGCGCTCCCAGTAATTGAGGTGTTTTATCTCCGTTATGCGCGCCGTGAAAGTTCTCTGTACTTTTTTCTAGGTCAGCAATTTCACCTGCCTTGAAAGGTGCTGTTAGTGTGCAGCAATATTCCAGCCTAGATAGAACAAGCGACTTGGAGAGTTTCATGATGGGCTTGGCATCCCTATTTTGAAAGTTCTCATTATCCATCCTGTCATTTTTCTAGCAGCTGCGATTGATACAATGTTATGGTCCTTGAAGGTGAGATCCTCCGACATGATCACTCCCAGGTCTTTGACGTTGGTGTTTCGCTCTATTTTGTGGCCAGAATTTGTTTTGTACTCTGATGAAGATTTAATTTCCTCGTGTTTACCATATCTGAGTAATTGAAATTTCTCATCGTTGAACTTCATATTGTTTCTGCAGCCCACTGAAAGATTTGGTTGATGTCCACCGGGAGCCTTGCAGTGTCTTCAATGGAAGACACTGTCATGCAGATTCGGGTGTCATCTGCAAAGGAAGACACGGTGCTGTGGCTGACATCCTCGTCTATGTCAGATATGGGGGATGAGAAACAAGATGGCAGCGAGTACGGGTGCCTTGTGGAACAGAGCTTAATGATACAACGGGTGTTACCTTCCATGATGGCAGCAACACCCTGTATATGTTAATGATACAACAGGTGTTGCCTTCCATGATGGCAGCAACACCCTGGTATATGTTAATGATACAACAGGTGTTGCCTTCCAAGATGGCAGCAACAACAGACTGAAGTATTAAAAATTCTGTTTGATCAATGATTTTCGATTAAAATATCATAAATATATAAAAGATTTTGGTTGATCTTGTTATATATTCATCATTCATATAGAAAATCTTGTAGTAAATGTCTTCTGGATGTCGTAAGTGTTACGTCTCTGGATAGCAACACTTGGGCACTAAAAAAATTTTTGGGGGTTTTGTAAAAAAAATTTACGAAAATCTATTTAAAAAAACTCATCCATCTGTTGAGATCAATGTTTAACACACAGAATATGTTATGTCTGTAGACAGCAACACTAATGTACAAAATGTACAAAAAAATGAGCTGCTGTCTATTATTTGTGAAATTTTATATTTTTAAATATCTCATTTAGTTCCTCAGAATCATGTACACTGGATATAATAATTGTAATAATTCTAAACAGAAACACTAACTATCGTAAAAAAGGAGAGATGTATCGCATTATTTATCATACACACAAACTCCTCCGACTTTTCAGAATAAAGATTTTTTGTTAAATTTAACAAGCATCGCCTCTTTAAACAGCAATATTGACCAACTGAAAACACTGTTTTCCCAGATTTTAGAAAATAAATGGCGATGTCTTTTCTAGGTCAAGTTAGTGCAGTTTCTCTCACTAAGTCTCGTGAAAAGAATTAAGTTTTCTGAAAAATTGTTACTTGGAGAGGTATAGCATGTTGGATCATGAACATTGTTACCTGGAGAGGTATAGCATATTGGATCATGAACATTGTTACCTGGAGAGGTAATAGCATATTGGATCATGAACATTGTTACCTGGAGAGGTATAACATGTTGGATCATGAACATTGTTACCTGGAGAGGTATAGCATATTGGATCATGAACATTGTTACCTGGAGAGGTATAACATGTTGGATCAAAGAACATTTTACCTGGAGAAGTATAGCATATTCGTCACAGTGGTGTCCCATGCTAACCTCCCTATGTTGTATAAAAATACATCTAGTTGAAAGAATCTTATTAGAGCCAGCTAGTCCAATAGTTAACGCACTGGCCTGTATATTTTAGGACTCAATTGCCATGGTTCACACCCAACTCATTCCCTGATTCCCTCTTACTGGCTACTATCTTCTTGTGTTTGTCTAGACTCGCTTGAGAATGGACCGTCGTCGAACGCACAAACAGCGCAATGGCCCGATTTATGGAGCTATGAAAGAACTGGGTCTGCTGAAGTCCCAGAACACACGTATTGGTAACCCAGGCCAGGACAAGTCTCTCTCAGGTGGAGAACGTAAGAGACTGGCCTCGCCACTGAGGTAAGTTGTTCTCTCTGGTGGAGAACGTAAGAGACTGGCCTTCGCCACTGAGGTAAGTTGTTCTCTCTGGTGGAGAACGTAAGAGACTGGCCTTCGCCACTGAGGTAAATTGTTCTCTCTGGTGGAGAACGTAAGAGACTGGCCTTCGCCACTGAGGTAGTTGTTCTCTCTGGTGGAGAACGTAAGAGACTGGCCTTCGCCACTGAGGTAAGTTGTCTCTCTGGTGGAGAACGTAAGAGACTGGCCTTCGCCACTGAGTAAGTTGTCCACAAAACTAGTTGGTAGTATAACTTACACATCACTGTTGTAGGTGTATTCTGGGGATGGTAGTATACCTTAGATAACAGTGTAGTATGTGGTATCCTGGGGTTTGGTAATATACCTTAGATAACACTGTTGTAGATAGTATCCTGGGTAATGGTGTTAAAACTTAGGAACATCTGAGAATTAAGCTAACAAAGCATGCTTATTATTATTAAAATTATTATTATTATTATTATTATTATTATTATTATTATTATTATTATTATATTATTATTATATTATTATTATTATTATTATAATTATTATTATTATTATTATTATTATTATTATTATTATTATTATTATTATAATTATTATTATTATTATTATTATTATTATTATTAATATTTATTATTATATTATTATTATTATTATTATTATTATTATATTATTATTATTATAATTATTATTATTATTATTATTATTATTATTATTATTATTATTATTATATTATTATTATTATTATTATTATTTATTATATTAACTCTTCGGCCATTTGCCACTAAGTCAGGTTGACCCGGAAAAGAAGAAACACTTTCATCACCATTCACTCCATCACTGTCTTGCCAGAGGCATGCCTATGCCTACACTACAGTTATAAAATTGTAACTTTTCAACAGCCGTCCTTCAGCCTCAGACACTGTACTTCCCACTCAGATCACAACATAATAGAGGTACAGACATGTATGTGCTGGGCTCTTGACCAACATAATGTGATCAGTTATGAGGGTGTCTTCACAAAATTAACTTCAATAACAAAAGCATAAATTGGAACCAAGTCAACCATGTCCTAAATGAAACAAGGTGGGAAGATATCCTTTGCCTAGAAAAACATTAACTGTGGCACTTGAAGTCTGCTCAAAGCACATTCCATTAAGAAAAAAGAAAGAGAAGATGTAAACTAGAAAGAGAGATGCTCCATATATAGGCGAAGGAGAAGAATCACAGAGCTGCTGAGAGGAGCCAATATATCTGAAATTCGAAGGGAGGTATTGGTCAGAGAAAC